TTTATTGTATGTCAAAGGTGTCAATCAGTCATTAGTTCGTTTAAGGCTCGTTTATACACTTGTATTGTCAGCGGTTTTACTAGTGCGCATAGTCAGTTTGGCTCAAACATTTCTGCCACCTTTTCCACACCGGTTTAAAAACTTACGACGCTATAGGACGGACGTGGGATTAATCTTCTTCAGTGGATAAATTTATTGGATAACAGCATCGACTTATCCACTGGATAAGGATTTATCCGTTAGATAGTGCTATCCATCCACCTTTCTTACAACCGGGCGAAGAACGATTGCGTTAACCTTTTTATTCAATTCTATACAAAACTCAATTAAGGCTTTCAGTTTGCATTATCCTGGACTGTCAACAAGTTTTTAATGCTTCAGTATTGTCAGAAGTTCATAACTTATGAACTTCTGGTATTGTTCACGAAACACTTTTTTAAGATAATTAATTAAGCTGCGCATGAGCAAGTTTCTTTTTACTATGAGGACTAAAGAAGCGAGCTTCGGAACACAATCTCGCACCCAGAGTCTTTATTTTTTACTGCGCATGCTCGACTATTTTCTTTTGTGGAGCATGCGCAGTAAGAAATAAAGACTCTAGATACGAGATTGCGCAAAGCATAGCCGAATTTCTCTCGCTTCTCTCATACTCTACAGCTCCCAGAATGTTAATATCACAATACAGTGATAATCGGCCATTTAATGTTGCTTTTATAAGCATTTAAAAAAGATTTTGCATGAACGTGTTTTCACCGTTTAAGTCTGAACATGCATGGTAGCCAGCCAATCAGCGTGCGGGTTATTATATCTATAAATATATCGTTTTAATACCTCTTCGTTTGTGTTGCTTGAAGGATCGYGATGGTTCTTCTGTTTGAACTTCTTGATCAATCTAACGAAAGCAACATTTATAGTATGAACACATAATAATTTGGTCATATTAAAACGAACAATGCMAGTRCTTGGTTAWTAGCATTTTTCACKGTTACTAAAAATAGATATCGCAAAGCCTTKTGGGATCGAAATGCGGACAAAAATTGAAAATGAAGGTCCGATTACATGAAAAACAAGAAGAATATCAGTTGRAAAAACATAGTTCTTCCATAAATTCACCTTTTGAGCCCTATCCCAAATCCAAAATGTGCTGGATTGTGTTACGCTCACCAAAAAGTTCRGACATTGTTCTCGCATCCCCATACAAATTCATTGAATTTAAAAAGAAAATTCAGATCGATTTCTTTATTTACWTTTCTAAACAACAGTAAGAAAAGCTTCAATCAAGTTGGRGAAATGATATTTTGCTTGTATTTTGAGAACTAACTAATCAAACCGAGTAAATAAATTTGTAAAAATATCAATTTGGTCGATATATATATTAAACAGAATATTACATGGCCGCTTGAAGATACGGATTTTATTTTCTCGTGTTRASAATATCTTACTCGTTGGCTGCGCTCACTCGAAAGATATCACCTCAACACTYGAAGATAAAATYCGTATCTCCGCRCGGCCATWATATCCTCTATACAAAATGCGTAAACCAACCTTGAGGTCTTCTTGTGGTTCAAGTGTAGACGACAGATCGATACTTGGCAGTGGGTCGTCTCTCTGTCTTTCACTGATGCGCGCTCTATTCTGTAGCACCAGTATACAGCTCAAGACCGTTTTGTTCACCAGAAGAAGATTGACAGCCTGTTCTAACACTGATAATGGAAGCTCAAGGTCGTTTGCTTCCTTGCTAGTGTCGCCTAARATTCGATTTGAGTGAAAAGTGAGGATGATGGACCCAATCCACTTAGRCGTAAYGTTTTGCCCATTTCAGASCACGTGTCATTCTCTTGAGWATAARATTCTTTGTTTGAGTTGTATCCATATTYATGTGTCTTCTCATGTGCAACCGTTAAACAAAGAAATAATACTCTAGGGAATGACACGTGGTCTGAAATGGGAAAACAGTGGATTAGGTCTATAGTCCCCWTCACAGTTCTCTGCGCCATCTTGAAAGGTAGCCGTGTCTTTGCATCGAAGATAGACGAACGGTGAGCTTGCAATGATAGAGACATGTGAATAATTGTCCAAGGTGTTAAAAAAGGTCTCTATCATYGCATGCTCACCGTTCGTCCCGCTTCGACACCAAGGCAAGGCTACCTTTTAAGATGGCGTCGAGAACTGTGAAGGGGACTATTAAGGCTGTTCGTATTGAAAGGACAAAAAGAGAGTTAACGTGGCTTACTTTTGTTAGCGATCTCTGCGGACAGTTTATCTCGTACACAGTCGAATAGGTACCTCATCACGCGGGGCGAATCTGTTGATGGAAAAAGAATAAGTGTATCTTAATGAGAAAATCAAAACCCCTGGGYCGGGTTGTTCAAAGTTGGATTAGCGCTAATCTAGGATTAACTCTATAGGTCTTATTAAGAGTTAACCCAGGATTAGCACTAATCGGGCTTTGAACAACTGGGCCCTGACTTGGATTTAATAGAAGAAAACAATGGAATCAGATCATGTGAACTTTGTTCGGCCATATTGGATAGCAAAGGTTTGACTCAATGTCTCCGGGCAAAAATCAAACCGAACTACATACCTTTTTTGAGATTTAACTTCAAGAAAAAGCAAGATATTATGGGGCATGTGGTGAAGCAATCCCGTGAGGCAGCAGAACGTAGACAGGGTCATCCACAAACGTTCAAACTGTTGGTCTACAGGTCAAAAAATCAACGAAATCTAGCCCGGCCTTTTCGGCTATTTAAAAGTTTTGGTTTTTTCTCCAGAAAATTAAGTTTGAAAAAACTCACACGGCTGAGTGATATGTAGTTGTATTAATTTGAGAAAGAAATGGTACACTGTTATTCCCAAAAGTTTTAAAAAAAAAGTGCTTCGTTTTAAAATTAAGAGGTATTTTTTTTCAATAACGAGCAATGATGGCAAAAAGCGCCAAAAACTAGACTTTCGCATGAGTTTTGATCCCAATTTTYGTTTTGGGTTAACACTCAAAACCTTTTTTAAACAGTTAGAAACTGATGTACTATGATAAAATGCCTGTTGGAAGCGGTATTTTCAATTGTACAAAGATGTTTTGTTGCATTTGTGTTAGAATGCTGCTTAGTCAGGCTTTTTTATAGAAAATATATGGGAAATAAGCAAATGAAGGCCTAAACCTCATTTTCGATTCAAATTTTTGCTTTGGGTCAACTTAAAACTTTGATTCCACCTTCATCGGTCACCTCCACTTCCAAACAAGTTAAACTTTCTGAATAACAAGATTTTAGCCTTGTACAACAGCATTTCTTCAAGAAAATAGTTTTTGGCGCTCACTGCTTGAATACGAAAAGAATTCTCTCTTAAACYAAAATGGCGGAAATGATGACGTCACTCTTAGGTCGCCCGATTTTTTTTGATCTAAGCTCTTAATCTTACCTTCCTCAACATATGAAGACAAGTCCACCAGAAATACCGCCGAGAAGAAGTTGACAGTCTCTCTGTCCAGCTCATTCTTCAGCCTTGTCAACTCTAAATCGAGTTTAGATACTCTGTCTTTTAGTATCTCCATGCTTTGTTCCTGTTCAACATCTTCCATGTCGTTGAATAAATCTTCATCATCTTCTTCTGCTAACGGAACACACACATTTGAACCAATACCTTTACTGCTGAATGCCTTGTGAAGTTTTGGTCGTTGCTCCACTGGAGAATCAGTTTCGCTGTGCTGTGTACTACAACCGCTGTCACTTGGTTGACGTTTTGCACGTGGGCTCAAGGGTTCTTGGTCACAATAGGAGCTCATACTAGAGCTCGTCCCAGACTCTACGTTTTTGTTATCAATGGAGTATTCACTACTGATTTTGGATCCCATGGTGGAAGATGATGCGTTATGGAGCTGCTCAAGGATGGTTTCTTTACGACCGAATTCGTTCATGAGGTCGCGAGAGATTCTTAAAATGGAGGGATTGCTTCGTTCTTCGGTGCTGCACGAAATCTTAGGAGACGATGGAAATGGAAATACAAAAACATCTCGTAGAGAATCGGTACTTGTCATGTGTGATGTTACGTCACCRCTATGCCTCAAAGTGTCCAAAATAATCCCTCCTTTCTCTAGCAGATTCATCCCTACGTTTTCCAGCAGATCATCGTCATAATCAGCCCAYCCACTATCAGTCGATCTTGGAAGAACACCATTACAGACATCAGCAATATCTTGCATTTGGTATAACAGTTGCAGAGACATGATTTCTGCGAGTAGAACGTTGTRAAGCGTTTCTGTTGACGCACATTCTGGAATCACGGGCTGATCTAGTCCGATATCAATCATGTCTTCAGTAGGTGATTGACAGCACGCATCACGATAAACTCTCTCTGTTTGTTTTCTTTGCTCAACTAGTCCGCGCTGTCTTTCTTCCTCGAGCTCTGCTTCAAACTTTTCTCTCTCCATTAACTGACGTCTAATGGCTTCTTGTCTCTCTGCTTCGAGTAAATTTTCAAGGTCAACCTTGGTTCGCTCTTCAAGTAAAACTGACTTGCGTTTTTCTTCTTTGAGTTCTTGCTTCAGTCGTTCAATCTCTCTTTGATGCTCGCTTAGTTTTTCACTTTTTTCTTTTTCTTCTCGTAGAGATTTTTCTAAGAATTCAAGATTTTCTTGCTCCAGAAGACTTTTCCTGTTGCTYTCCTCCTCGAGGCGTTTCTTGAGATTTTCATTTTCAGCTTTGAGTTTCTCCGCCTGAAAAAAAATCAGTTTCAGAAGATACAGTTTATTTTTGCCTACCTAAATGAAATCTCCAAAGACTATAGATTTGGGAAGGATGGGATGGAATTGATATCAAGGGACGGACGGACAAACGGACGGACGGACGGACGGACGGACGGACGGACGGACGGACGAACGCACGGACGGACGGACGAACGGACGAACGGTATCTGACGGGTTCAAACTTACTCATATTAGTGCAGTTTTCGTATGACTGTGAAAAGTTCACGGCACGAACACGTCCGTAACACGGCAAGGGATACGCCAGACAAATTACATTGCAGGAGAATTTACTCTCCATCCAATCAAATACCCGGAACAAGGCATAAACACGACGCGGACACGGTCACGCCAAGATCACGGCACTTTTAGACCAATCATATTGCGCGTGAAAAAAATCAGCCAATTAAAATTCTAGAAAGTATCACGGTCACGGTACGTCACGCTTATGGCACTGAGCTTTTCACAGTCATACGAAAACTGCACTATGTACAGCGGTAAATAATATGATATCCCTGTGTCGATCTGCCGTAACACAATCCAATACGTTTTGGGCTAGCGCTCAAAAGGTGTAAATCATAAAAAAATAGATTTGTATTAGAATTGAATTATTTAGCTAAAAACTGGGAGATTTTTTCCCATTGAAAGGAAGTAATTGTTGTATTGTTTGATTAATACACAGAATAAGACTGTGAATATAAATATCAATGAAGAAAATGACACAATTCAGGATGCCAGTAGAATAACATGAACTTATGTTTTCTAAATATTTACTTTGGGAAAAAGCAATACTCGTTTATCTTGACAAACATTTCTATAACAGAGCTTTACTCGTTTATCTTGACAAACATTTGTATAGCAGAGCTTTACTCGTTTATCTTGACAAACATTTCTATAACAGAGCTTTTCACGCATATAGAGGATTTTCTAATTTAGATGATATTTTTTTCATTTTAATGAACGTATTTTTTTACAGCAAGCAACTCAAGTCTTTTAGGATTACGCTTACAATTTTTACGTATTAATATTATTATTATTATTTATTATTATTATCATTTGTAGAAAGTTCCCCCCTTCTCTATATATCTATTAATTTCAAATACAATTTATTCATTCAAAACCCTTTAATTTTTATCCTTTGACTAACCTCTTCTCTGGCTTCATCTTTCTCGTGCTCCAAGAGCGACTCTTTCTCGGCCAGCTTAGCAAGTTGATCGTTCTGTAGCTCTTGCATTTGTTTTTCGTAACATTCTTTTTGGGACTGAATCTCAAGGTCTGCAAAAACCAGAAACCAAAATTAGCCCAGAAAAACGCTAAGTAATAATGAAGAGACACTTTCGTAAAAATTATAAATTGTATCTGATCCGCCCAACGATCCGAAACGTGTATATCTTACGCTATTTTTCCATCGATTAAATATTCAAAGTTCGAAGTGAAAAAATCGAATAAAATAACAGATTTCAATAACCTTCTTTCGGAGTTCTTCGTGAGAAAAATTTCTCAACCAAAAGCATTTTTGACTTTTTTTCTTATTGAGTTTAAATTCGCTTGGTATCGACACAGCAAAAACGATGTCCTGTGGAGAAAATAGAAGCTTGAATTTTGATCCTAGGTTGGTGATGCGAGTGACAGTTCAACATGTGGACGAACGAACGGCCAACGACGCCATTTAAGCTCGGAAAATCCCCTCAAAGAATTCGGCTCAAGGTTTCGTGCTTCCAAATCCGAAATACGACAAGAAGGAACGCCAGCACTAGTCCAAAGCGGTGTTTTTACAAACGGATATGACGATGTATCCGTGCGATTGTCATGAAGAAAAACATTAYCGAACATACAAATCAATATCGAGGTGCGAAGCTTTAAGGTCAAAAACCATTTTTATTGGCTRGCRTTTGAAAATATTGAAATTTTGCATSTAAACCRTAGTRATGTCTCGGCAAAAGGCGTGACATCATTTTGCTMGACTTGAATCATTTAAACCACAAAATCTACACCTGTGATCCCTTTCGACAATAACCAATCAGAATCGATCGTCTTTAAAACATCTCGGGTTTCAACCAATTGGATCGCGTGTTGAAACCAGCTGGTGAGTGTTGTGTTTTGGTCGTACAGAGATTCAACGGCGTTTTGGCGAGAGTTTCACGTTTAGTGCGAGTTGAAAAAATACTGTACTTGAATACTACGAGTTTTTAACGACTAGTTAATATGTTCAGCTGATGTAAATATAAATCTWGTGTAAAATTGTAGTATTACTAAGAAAAAGGGAAAATGAAAGATAGTAAAAAGACTGCGTTGTGTTTTTGTGCTGTTCAAGTTTACAATAACCGATTGAAATAGCTGTTAAAACAAGKTTGAAGTCTTAGCTTTAGTTAGATGGAAATAAGATGTGTTTTAAATGAAATAAAGGATTTTTTATATAGCTTTTGGTTCCACGTTCTATAGAGAAACATATAGAACTCTTGAAGGATATCCAAAATACTGACAAATCGATGCATTAGCTTTCCTATAGTTCTATTTCCGTCTTTATTTACGAATTTTTATTTAAAAATAAATAGAGGAATGAACGAATGAACAATTACATAAATATATGAACGAACGAAGAAGCGAACCAAGGACTTGAGCGCGAACTTACTTGAATGAACTCTGTAAAATCTTTTTAATTCAAAGGAGATTTTTTTTCTTTGGAAGCCGAGTGCATATATA